CGTTGCTTCCAGCTAAAGTCCATAATCCATAATAACGCTTCCTCCAGTGAAAAAGTCAATCCCCTGTTGTAAAGCTGTTTTGGCTTGTAAACAGTACTTGATCTGTGCAGATTTCTGTCCTGATTCAGACCCGATGACTTTTTCACTGGAGAAAGCAATATTAAAGATAGATGACTCATATTTCAGCCGGAAGCAACAGTTTGAAGTTAAAAACGTCTGAATGACGGATTTGTTTATTACAAACACGCAGATTTTGGCTTCATTCAATTGATGGACTGGAGTGGTGTGGATTACTTGTGGATTATTGTGATGTTTTTATCAGCTGTTTGGACTCTCATTCTGACGGCACCCATTCACTGCAGAGCATCCACTGGTGAGCAAGTGATGGAATGCTGAATTTTTCCAAATCTGATGAAGAAACAAACTCATCTACATCTTGGATGACCTGAGGGTGTGGACATTTTCAGCTAATTTTCATTTTTGAGTAAACTATTCCTTTAACACATGTTACAGAAGGGAAAGTCTTGGTGGGGAATAGAGACATTTTTTGCAAACTGAACCTTTCAACACTCATGAGAAACAGTAGATGCTATAACAGTAGATGCTACAATTCCTTAAAACTACAATGATTGCTTTTTTATGCAGCATTTGTTCTTTAAAGCACCCTATGGGATAAAAGAAATCACCCAGACATCTAGTATTAATTATGATCTGTTTCGACAAAAACATTTGGTGTGTCCAACTCTTGCTGACCACAAATGATGGACGTTTGGAATAAAACTGACCAAAGGCTTATTATTTCTTCTTTTTTTTTGCAGAAACTTCTGGAACAGATTTTGCAGAGGGGAGGAAATCACTGACATCGCCTTGGACTCGTGTTTCTTCTCACTCCACAGTTCTCATGCTGGCCCTTGAAAAATATGACATGACATTAGTTATAAATGTTATGGAATAGTTCCTTCCAGAACGAATGTGCCTCAAACATGGACTGCAGCCTCATTTCTGTGGGTCTGGATTACATCTTCTCTCTCTATATACATACATTACTGGTTAAAAATTTGGAATAATTAAGGTTTTTAATGTTACGTCTCTTATGTTCAGCTAGGCTGCATTTATTTGCTCAAAAATACAGTAAAAACAGTAAAACTTGTTTTTACTGTATATTTATATTTATTATCACAATTTAAAATAACTGTTTTCCAATTAAATATATTTTAACATGTAATTTATTCCTGTGATACAAAGCTGAATTTTCAGCATCATTACTCCAGTCTTCAGTGTCACATGATCCTTCAGAATTCATTGTAATATGCTGATTTGCTGCTCAAGAAACATTTATGATTATTATCCATGTTGAAAACAGTGTTTGCTGCTTCATATTTGATAGAAACTTTGCATTTTTCAGTCCTACAGATTCTTGACAGTATCACATGGCAAACACAGGGCATCAGGAGGACATCTTTTGGCTTCTCAGAGGTGCTACATTTGCCATATAGACAGATTGTTTGCCCTGTCTGTGCCTCTATCCCTGTCATATTATATTATGTAAGAGACACAACATAAAAGAGCACATTACGGCTCCGGTCCTCATCGCTAAAAGCCTAAAATCCAACATTTGAAGACATTCTTATAACATGAAGGACCTGATCCCGCTCTCAGCCTTGAAGTCGTAGGTTCGGCGGGCTCATTATGACATCAGTAGCCTTCCTCTGTCCGTGTCTCTCCGAGCCATTAGCCGGGAGCAAAAGGAATTTGACCTCGTCTGAATAGGAATGCATCACTAATGGAGCCGAGTGCTTGCGCGGGGTGAAAGAGGCTTTTGTCCTGTCTCCGAATGAGCCAAGACTGTCCCACATGTGCCTGCTTAGACGGGACATGACTGTGCAATAGTCGAGTTATAAACTGAAACCTTGCAGTAAGACTTGATTCGATAGACTTATTATTATGTCCTGTTATTGTGTTTGGTATTTTAACTATTACTTTTTAAAATCAAAAGACTGGGCCAGAAGATGTGGAGTAATGTAGCTTTCTTTGTGTGTATACGATAAGATGATGCATTTTAGGCCAGACATTACACAAGTACAGAAATGTATGTGCAAATGCTCAACCAAGGACAAATTATCCCTGTAAGTCCCTAAGGAAAGTCATTTCACTCTTTGTAACACTATTTCAGTCATGCAAGTAACAGCTTTTATTTCTTTGAATGGGGAAACATCAAATTCGTTGAAGCAATGCAGCAAACTTACTATTAAATTTCATATTTGAAATCGCCAATGAAATCTGACAACTGTCTAAATTTTTTCATAAGTAATGTAAATGTGTACTGTCTTTGTATATCTAAAGCCTTTGCTGAAGTCTTTGGTACAATAAAATTGTCTGTGTATGTTATATTTGCATTTACAGGTTACTCAAGGGTGCGCTAGAATTTTAGAAGATGTTATTCAGGTAAATAGCCATAAATATGGCATAGCCTATGTTGGCTTTACAGACCGTTTTTAATGTTTTATGCCTGAGACTAACAAACTTTTTTTTCTAAACTGAATCTGTTTGATCTAAAACATTATAAATTATAGATATTATAAATAGTAAATCTATAATTGCTTGAAGTCCCCCTGATATTTTAATAATTTAACAACACAGTTCTCTAATGACTGACAGTTATGGAACTAAACAAATAGCCTAAAATATTTAATTTTTGATTGTTTTTATTTTTTATTATGTTTTATTAATTTACATTTTAATTAACAATAACTATTAACTTTTCATAAACTCAAAAATCCCTGCATTTTGGGAAACCCTTTTAAGTTTTTATTGTGAAATTTCTGTTTACATTTTAATTTTAGGTCAAGTTTTAGTAATTTTTACTATGTTTTTAACATTATTCTTTTTTTAATATGATAATTTTTATTAATTTTATTTTCAGTTTTAGTTATTTTAGTACATCAAGTTAAACCAAATAAAAAAGTTTTTTATTTATTTTATTTTCATTTCATTTTATTTAACTAACTTATTTAAATCAAAATGTTTCACATTTATATATGTAAATGTGGTTTTATATATGCATAAAATGTATGCATTTTTCCTAAAGGTTTTATATATGCATTCCCTAGTTCATAAGATGCAATGCAGTGGCCAAAGAGATCCAGCTGATGTATAGGTACAGAAAACAGTGCAGACAAAATGCAAGAACGTTTCCTGCTCGAACAGCCCCCGAGAGTCTCCATTTACATGCCAGTGTTGACAATTCAGCTTTGTGCTTCAAAAAAAAAACAACATGTTTTATGCCTTCTTATTTTCCTGTTAAACCTTTAGCTCAAATCTCAGAGCAGATTTTGTCTTCGAGGCCAACTACATTTAGAGTCTTTTCCTAATGTCATGCCGAATATTGATGTGTTTTTGCAAGAGGGCTTTTCTCAGTATTCTGGGCTTTGAGTTTGATGCTAATAAAAATGACAGAATCCTAAAAGCACAGTCCTAAATAACAGGAAAACGAATACATTTCGGCTGGATGGATGGATGAATATTGCTCTTGAGAAACTTCTTCTGGCCTCGGATGAAGAGCCGTGATGAATCATAGCGGGATGTTGATTACTACAGCAAAAATACTGACCTAGAATCAGAGCGAACCGCGTAAACCCATAAATCGCCTTTTCTCTGAGAATTATTGTGGTTCCTTAGATACAAAAGGGTTTTACAAACTTTTAAAAATGACATGCTGAATGAGCAATAGGATTTTCAAAGGCATTCGTGAAACTAGAAACCCTGTTGTCTGGGATTGTAAAGTCTGTTCTGATGGACCCGATCACCCCTGCTGAGGTGCGTACCTGGAGAAATGTGAACCAGACCCCTTCTTCGATAGCAGAACTGAAGGATTACTTCATCAGGTGAAATGGAGACACCACAGGTAATCGATCATAAAGCATTTCTTGTTTTTTTCCCACTGCAGTGAATGGATGGCACAGGTGAAAGCGTGCAGTGAAGTTTATTGGACATGTACAGTATATGGTGAACACTGACCCTGCTTTATCACAGGAGCTCGTCTGGAGTCTGTTTCACACCTGAAGACAGCTGGTACATTGACCCTGGGACGGGACGTCAATCCCTTTAATGAAATCATTCTTTAAAGCCAATCGCTGTCTAAATGGAGGTTCGATGTTAAAGTCTGTTTCTTTTCTCCAGCTATGGGACAATCTTTGAGACGACATGTTTCAAATGGATTTCTGCTGTCTCTTGAAGTTGGATCCATTCCTGTCTGCTCTTTTGAAATCGAGGCAATGCAAGAACAGAATGATGAAATCAAAGTATTTTGCTCTTTCAAAATGAGGTTTCACTCATGCCAAATATGGCTACAAACCGAACGCTGTTGATGTTCTTATTGTGCTCGGATCTCTCCTGCGTGTGCAGTCTGAGCTTCCTTCCGTGTTCTTTATTTGTTTCAGCTTTTAAATAATGCACAGGTTCATCATGGATGTGTGGTGGTTTCACACCTGCATTATTGCTCTTGTGCTGCAGTAAATCTCAGTGCAGTAGTATTGCACCAGCATGCACTGGACATGAAGACTCAACTCTGTGGTATAAACAGAGTAGAGCATTTGCATTATTAATTTACTTTACTGATATCATGAGAGGTCACAGGAGGTCAACCATAAAACTTAAAATAAGTAACCACAGCTATGGGGGGGGGGTGCCACCAAAAACTACAAAACAGTCATTAGGATCATTTGGTTCAATTAATTTCTGATATCTAACAATTGATATATTTTATGATATTCTAATTATGGGTTTAGACAGCATAATGACCATTTCAATTATTTATCAGCTTTTAATGAAAATGATTGCCACTGGATCGAACTGATCAATAAGTGGTTTGTTGCACTTTCAACTCACTCTTTAAATGTCTTTTTCATATAAGATATAACGTTTACCAGAGTCATAAATCTCACAACATACTTTTGTTATCTTCAGGTAATTTGGAAAACACTTCACAATGACTTCCATTTATAACATCTATATAACATCTATAACATTATATAATGCTTAAAGGTCAATTAATGCACATTATAATACAAATGTTATGGAACACAAATTCATATTCTGTCTAAATGTACTACTTAAAAAATATATTTAAAAAATGCCAAGTTCTTTCATGAAACTCTAGATGACCTTACTGCTTTACATTTAAATGGCTCGTTAGTATTTTGCAGCACTCTTTCAGAGTTCCTCTGAATCCCTCCACCTTCCCCAGCTCCACCTGTATAGATCATTATTTTATATGCTATTTGTGCAGCAGCAGTATGTCTTAAATACTGACAGCACTGTATCGCTGTATGCATTGGCAGTAGCAAGTTCCGGTACTTGCTTGCAGCAGCAGCAGCAGCGTATCTATTCCGCCAAGACCAAATGCATTAAAGGGGTCATATGATGCGATTTCAATTTGTTCCTTTCTCTTTGGAGTGTTACAAGCTCTTGGTGCATAAAGAAGATCTGTAAAGTTGCAAATCCAAACCCAAAGAGATATTCTTTATAAAAGTTGAGTCAACCACGCCTACCTAAACGGCTCGTTCTAACACGCCCCCACATATCTACGTCACTATGTTGGAAGATTTGCATAACCAAAGTTGCCGCCGCCATGTCGTGAAGGCGCTGTGTGTTTCTTTGTGAAAGCGAAACTACTTTGTTTGGCCTTCTAAAAGAGGACGAGACTAGAAATCATTAGTTAAGTTGTATTTACAACACTGTTCCAGAACAGTTCAACCCAGATATTCAGATGTGTTTCCTGATACTGGTAGAGTAGACTACAATGCCGGCTGTTCTGACTCACAGACTGCAAGTACGTTTTTTATATA